CAACAATCGCGCTAAAACAAACGCTATAACAACGAACATGCTCAATAATACTGACTGCAGATCAATTACTCACTGTCTACACACACATTATCCCGTCACGTTGTCACCCTCTTATATATATACCAGACTACCCTATATCTAGTAATCTCCCGACAATTCGCGAAGGAGCAAGATAGTTTTAGAAACGTCACGTGACCTCGCTGACGCAACAGTATTATTAGGAGTAAGTGCTCTGTTGTTTCTAAATGAGATATTAAAAGGTTTCGTATGTGTATACTTATACGCAAAATTCTCTTTCTTATCACGCATTTGAAAGAAAATATATAGATAATATATATAATATATAATATATATAATATAGATAATATATATATAATATAGATAATATATATTTAAATCAAACGCAGATATTTTGTAGCTAGATAATACCTAATACACCACTTTAAGACTAATACCGAAATATCTTTTTTTAACGAGATTATTTATTTCTTTAACTTATGTGATTCTATCTTACACAAATTATAATGATTAAAAATAGGAAGTTGCCTTGATTGAATTTTCAATGTTAATTTTTTAACTTGAGCATCATATTAATGTTTTTCAGAAGGTAGCATTAACATGATAGATACATGGTGCTGTAATTTTCAGTTCAGGCAATTATTCACACATACATAGTAGTATGAAATTTTCTCAATAGAGGGCAATGATAACAACGTATAGAACTATAGATGAACTGTTCATCGAATTTGAACTGTAAGTGCCTGATATAATATTTTAACCTTCCTTTATTTTTAGCGTAAATATACATGATTTGTTTCGATTTTGAAGATTAATCACATAAATATGATTTATCTTTCGATCGAGTGACCATGTTTTATGTCCATGTAACAAATGACAAATATTTGTGAGTTTGCAGGCATAAATATTAGCAATACGACAACTGATTATAAAATATATATAAAGTGTTAAATTATTTTCTGAATTTGTTCAAATCAGTAAATAATTAACGTTACAAATTATGTTAAATGGACAACAAGACGATTCTTTACCGCAAGAACTTCACTAGAATCTACACAAGGTGGCGTATGCTCATACTATCATTTTTTAACTTTCAAATAGTTTGTTTATAGGTTTAATTATCTGAATGATCCGTTGTTATTGTTTTTGAATCGATCACAGACAGCTCTATAGAACTTCAAGCTAGTTTCTTGCAGATTTTCTCTCGACTCATTCATAAAATATAGAAAATTAATTTCAGAATCTTGCATATTGGTCTATTGAATAAGTCAAGAATCACATTCCTTAAACCGGAACATAATTTATTCTGATTTTCCATTCTTTATTTCACGAGAGTAAAAAATTAGATCAAATCATCCATTCAATGCAATATAACTGAACTTATCGTTTTAGAATTTTCACAAAATTTTACATAGACAGTTTGACTGTTATTATGTCTTTAGTTTCTATTTTTCCTACCTTCTGAATGTGAGCTTGTAAGCCTTTGACACCAAACATTCGAAATACAAACCACATCTTCAACGATCGAAACCTCCTTCCTAGTGGAATCTGCCAATGCTAAGCAGCGGGAAGAGATTATATAACGCAATTTATTAATGTTAATAACTTATACATTACATACAAAAAGTTATGTATTTGTTCAGGAGATTAAATTCGAGAAATTTTAAAAGTTATGTGGACTTAAGTTTACTTAATAATCTCGTTGATATGTTAAAAACATTTACGTACAAAATGACTTTAAATGTAGCTTTGTTATAAGTTCACTGGAACCCTGAAAATCCAACTGTTTTAGACAGCTTGCTCCCCAGTGGCACAGCGGTGTGCCTGCGGACTCACAACGCTAGAAACCGGGTTTCGATACCCGTGGTGAGCGGAGCACAGATAGCCCATTGTGTAGCTTTGTGCTTAACTACAAACAAACAAACGGTTTAGACAGTTTAAATGTTAGCTATGTCATTTTAGAATTTTACTACTGGAAACCCTTGGTAGTTGGTGAGATTCCATTATTATAGAATTGAGGAAAACAAAGACAATTGTATGTTTCATGAATATATTTCATTTATTACTATCATGTTTCGACATTATGGTTTCCTCAATTTTCTAAAAGAAACAATGTTGTTTTTCCTACAGATGGCGCTTTACTTCAGCGTCTTCCAATTGGCAAACAGCATCAGGCTCCATGCCTGACTTTCCCAGGTCAACGCAATCATCATGTTAAAGATTAAGTTTATATTTTAAAAAGTTTCAGGAATGAATTTTGATAGGAATGTCCAATTACAATAAGTAGCAAAATCACTTTATCGTAAATAAAGCTACGTCACTTCAGATGTACGAACTGCGAATAGGACTGTGGAAGTTTACCACTTCAAATGGAACTGTCGGGATTCCTGAAATCACGGTGCTTCATGTGCTTAACGTTTTATGTATCTACAAACCATATGAAACCATGCATGCTTAAATCATTTATTATTTATAAATTTATACTAGCTTAAAGGTATAAAAAACAACTATTTTTTTGAATGGAAATACACACACTCACACACATATATATAATGGTAATTTTTCTTAAATAATTCAGCATTAATGCACTGAATAATAAAACTACAGCGATACTCTTTCATAATCACAGATAAAATGATGCTATATGTACACTCTCTATATATTTATTTCTACTTTTGTTTGTACGGCAAAGTTACTAAGGCTATCTGCTACCACACCTAATTATGAACTCCAGATGGAAGGCAACCAATCAGAGCACCCATGCTAAGGGATTGCCTTTCATTCTTATAACGAATCCGCAGCTCAAATTTCGAGAAATATTTTGTTTAATGACACGGATTCGATTCCGGCTCGTCAGCACGTACATCCAGAGTTATACTACAGGATCAAATCGTACCCCAAACTCTGTATTCAATTCGTCAATGGCTAATAAGAACAGGTGTTAAAGTTATCTGTGGACTCATAACATTAAGAACCGGATTTTGATACTCGCGGTCGGCACAGCTTAACTACAAACAAACAAAGTTATTTATTTCATCTTTTATTTTCAGTGTTTGATCTGTTTTACCAACACATTGAAACTTTGGTAATTACGTCGTCATATCTTTAAGATATATATTAGAAAAACAATGGAATCTAACCTATAAGCACAACTCAAAATATAAATTTTGCAAAAACAATTAAGGCCAGGATTAACATTTTTTTTTTTCAAAAGTTCATTTTAATTTTGTTAAATATGTTACAAAGAATTAATGTCAATTAGAAAAATAGTGCTTCTTTACAGTTAAATAGCCACATGTTTCCATAGTGACTAGAATTTTATACCATAAGCAACTATACACTCTTTGATTCTAATACGACGATGAAGAATATAAAGTATATTAGTCAATATCACAGAGATATAAAGTATAAAATATTTTATACATAGTATCACACAACAGTCATGATTTACTCTGTAATAACACAAAAAACGAACCACTCTTCATGGAAATATTAAACACATACCCTGTAGTCTGGAATTTGTCCCTCTTTATCATGTTTTAAGTAAATTGGATTCACATTGAAGGCTTCAACAAGATCATGTCTGTTCTTTATCCTGTCAAACGATAGGGGAACAATAAAATATGTGAAAGTTAATGTTAATTCCACAACATTGTAGTTTCATACTTGTCATATATTACTGTGGCAAGAAACTGTGTGTTCTCTTTAAAGGAAGTACATTTCACACACCTTTCACACAATACTAACAATTTGTGTGATATATATATATTCTTCATAATCATAGATGTAACCTATGAAAAGTAAATACCGGCAGTGGAATATTACGTCACTCACCACATGGCGGAACAGTCAAAGTTGACCATCATCCACTTATGAGGGTTCATAGTGAAGGAATCTGCCTTCTAGAAAAATTAAATTAACTAATTTTAGACAAAAATTATTTCAAATAGTGTGAAATAAATAAGTGATATATATCCTTCCCCGCATAAAAAACAACAACATATTTTTGAAATATTAAAATGTCTTTCGCTCGTTATATATTTTATGCTCAAATCTTATTGTTTTGTTATCACTATAAAACCCAATAATGGCATACTAAGTATTAAAATAAGGTATTCGACTCTTCTTAATTTCAGTAATTGTGCTAAATACGTCATTTCAAACTGAAATACTTATTATAATTTAAAATATTTTACATATTTCTCAAGTAAAACGTAAATGAATATTTCGTAATCTAATTATAAGTGTTACCTTGTCCCTCACACATATAGACAATTTTAAAACAATAATTACACGAAAAGTATTGGACAATGCACAGGAAATAGTGTTAACAATACGTATGTATATATTTATATAGATAGATACTCATAGGCAGCGGAAGCACTCTGAACCTGGAGGGTTATAACCCCTCGAAAAGCAACTTTCACATTTTTTACTGATTTGTGAAAAAGAAATGCCAACTTAAACCGAACCAGTAAAAATGCTGGTAACTACGAAACGCCTTACATTTTAAGGCTCTACATGTTGTTTAACCGACTTTATTACATTTTAAATATTATAATGTTTATAGTTTGCAAAAAGGTTTGGGGACGTGTCCCTATTGCTCCCCACGTTTTGCCGCATAAGTCCGTATTTATATTAAACATCAAATCAAACTTTAGATAGATAAGTAGAGCAGGTTATAGATACATTTCTTTTAAAAGCAACTGGTAATTTGAGCAAAGGTACAGATTCGCTCATTTGAGTAAATGTAAGTGCTGTCATAATTTAATGTTATGATTAAAAAATTCATTTATTTAGCTACATAGAGTTAAACAGTAAAAAAACAAAAAACAATACAAAATGTATTATAATAATCACTTCTAGATTCATTATATTTACTACAAAATTATTTACTTCTACGCCATCCAAAAGATGCCTGAATTCAGGACAGATAAACGCAGAACCAGCATATGCAGCATCGATATGGAACCAGATGTTTTCCTTCGAACCTAGGAAGAAAGAAATGACAAAAATTCGCAAACAAAAACTGTAAGTAAATTATGGCGTATGTGTAAGTTTTATCATTAGCAACAATAGATATATTGTGTAAGTTTGATCATTAGCAACAATAGATACATTGTGTAAGTTGGATCATTAGCAACAATAGATACATTGTGTAAGTTTGAACATTAGCAACAATAGATACATTGTGCAAGTTTGACCATTAGCAACAATAGATACATTGTGTAAGTTTGATCACTAGCAACAATGGATATATTTTTATTACAAAAATATTGAAGCTGCTACTAACCGCAATTTCACCAACAATATCTAATATACATGTCACGTGTTCTGAAAAATTGAGGTAAAATTATTATTGTTGTTTTAAGAAAATTTCGAAAGTGTCAAATAAAAGATTATATATTATCTGGAGCGAACGCAGCTGAGTGTTTAGCGTATCGAACTTTGGATTCCGAGGTTCCATGGTTTGTGTCCCGTTACCGCAAAAACTAAATAAAAAAATCGCGTTCCGTACTTTAGACTGTGGGTGTATTGTATCGTTTCCAAATTAGGAACGGCTGGCACAAATAGCCCTCGAGTGGAATTTAGCAAAATTATATAACCAAAAGAATATGTTACCTCTCAGAAACTTTTGGTTTTGTTTTGAATTTCGCGTAAAGTTACTCGAGGTCTTTCTGCGCTAGCCGTCTCTAATTTAACAGCGATAGATTAGAGAGAAGATAGATAGTCAACACCAGCCACAGCCAACTCTTGAGCTATTCTTTTACCAACGAATAATGAGATTGACCCACACATTATAATGCCCTACCAGGTGAAAGGGCGAGCAAGTTCAGCGACGGGAATTCGAACCCTCGACCTGCAGCTTACGCGTTGACCTCCTTAACCACCAGGCCGTGTCAGGCCCAGAAACCTTTGAAAACTGTGTTTCACTACAGACGAACCAAAATCTTTATTATGTATTACAATTCTATTATAATGAAATTCTAGTGCATTTATAAAATATATTTTCGTCTAAAAGAAGGGTGGCTTTTGTACATATATTTTCGTCTAAAAGAAGGGTGGCTTTTGTACATATATATAATTTAATTAAGAATAATATTTTAGGCTTTCTTTCTTTCTTTTTACCACGTCTTAATACGTTTGGGACTGGAATACACAGAATAATATAATGTGTTTGAAAGAGTCGTAGATTGTACAAGCTTTATCTGATTTTGTTAGAATAGATCTGGAACGTTGCATTGGGCCAATTTTTTTCCTGTAATAAAACGGGCTGAAAAATATACTATGAAACTGGCAACATAAAATGTTGTTTGATTTTTTAAAAAAAGTTTTAGCTGCGCAAGAATAAATACGCTATTTTGTACTGTTGACTAACTATATTTTTAAACTTCATCTGCTTATAAAACAGACTGGAGATTTTTTTTTAATATGGTTTTCCATAAAGTAAATAACGTTCACCCATGTGGAGGGAGGAGAACTTTAACAATGATGCTTTGTCCAACTTTCTTTTACCATAGAAATACGTGCTTTGATCTTTCTGTGCTCATATATATACCCATTTACATAACAAACGATGGTTTATAGAGGACTTTCTAGTGACTTTCTGGAGCATAATTGCCTGTTTTTTTGTATGATATATGTGTAGTGCGATAAGATAAGTATCTCAAGGACTATGCTAAACTTACGTTGATCAGAACTTGTGACTTAAATATCTTATTTATAAATTTACTTTGAAGTTTTAACATGTTATGAGACGGATTTTCCTCATAAATAAACTTAATTCATAAAATGAGCTTATATTCAAACTAATAGAAGTAAAGAATCATTTGAATCATATTTCTTATTCTAACGAACAAAAAGAATAACGACGCGAAAAGAAAGTTACCCTAGAAATTATACGTTCGTAATTAAAACTTCATAATTTTTCCAAGATTAACTAATAAAATGAAAAAAATGTGTATTTTTATAATGAGACACAATTTTCCGAAACATTACCAAGATGATCAGATCGTTCCTGGATTAATCATGGACAAAGTGAAGCTTCAGTGTAACGTTTTTTAGATGCTAGTATGTGGCCTCAAAAGATTAGGGTGTAAAAAAACTGTAACTATTTGCAAAACTGGTAGGACTTAACTACAATGTTGCTTTCTAATAGGACAAAAAACGTTTCAACTATTCACAGTCAAATTAAAACAAAAACGAAGAAGAAATATCGTTGAAGTAGTTTAAGTTGTTAAAATGTGCCTTACTAGGAAGTTATCTTTGGTGTGAGAGAGGTTTCGGATTAAAATCGGAAGCGAGGAAATTTATCACGAGAAAGAATTCCACATTGACGCCCATCTACTGGGTTCAAGTCCGAGGCAAGGAAACTTGTCGTTATAAAACATTTCCACATATATTTCGACTCTTATTTATTGATTAACGATGATTTGTAAATATAGGTTAAAAATCATTTGAGTTTTTTTCTTTCTTTATGTTTTGTTTACGTTTTTACAAGTCTATTAGTTGTATTGCAGTCCCGAATTCTTGAGAACTTCAGAAAAATATAATGTTTAATGTATAGTAATGATCGTCAAATCGCCACTTTCTTCCTTTGTTCTTGTATTATTTCTTACAACAGATTTATCCGATGACCTAAGTTATACCCTTCAATACATTTTTAAATATTTTTGGTTTAGTTTATTTTGAATTTCGTGCAAAGCTATTCGAGGGTTTTCTGCACTAACCGTCCCTAATTTAGCTGTGATAGACTAGAAGGCAAATAGTCAACACCACCCACCGCCAAGTCTTGGGCTACTATTTTACCAACGAATAATGGAATTGATCGTCACATTATAACGCCCCCACGGCTAAAAGTGTGAGCATGTTCGGTGAATGAGTTTTGAACCCGCGACCCGCAATTGCGAGTCGAGAGCCCTAACCATCATGCCATGCCAGGCCATTTTAGATATTCTGAACTAAAGTACTCCCTCTCTGCAAATACATTTCAAATGATTAGTTTTAGATAATTTAAACACAAGGTTGCTATATATCACTGGGAGCTTCTGGTTTCTATTAGTTTATCTCTCACTTGCCCTACACATGCTCATGTAGAGCATCAAGTGCCATGATCGTGACAGATTAAATGTTCTATACATGCATTAACACAGTGTTTCCCAACCTAGGGAAGGGGTATGTTAGGTGTGTCAACTATAACAGGGTACGTCTGGCTTGGTTCTATGTAAGGTTAAACGATTTCGGTTAATGCTGTTACAAATATAATACAAACGCTTGTGAGGAATCTTCAAGCCCAGGGCTGTTATTAAAACGGTATTTTCCATAGAACAGATATGTTCACTGTTACACTGTGGTTTATATACTGTAGATATGTAGGTGTATAAGTACATGTGTGTGTTTATAGATATAAAATGCAAGGGAGGTAGGCACAGATTGTATAGAGTATGCTTCAAGCCAAAAAAGGTTGGGAACCACTGCATCAGCACGACAAGGTGGAAAAGTGTTTTGCTTACGATAAAAGTTTATAAAATGTAAAAGAAGTGTATTTGAAGTAATTAAACCAGTAAAGTGACCTGTCTAGACTACTCACGTAAGATGTTAGATACGTAGGGTTCCAAAACGATGGCCATGTGGGGCGTCTCAATGACTGCAATGTTAAACCTAAGTGGGTTAAACGTATTCCACAATACGTGATACCCACCAAACACTGTTAATACAGAAGATACTTTGAGCCGAATGGTGTAATAAAAAAAATGACAAGCCGATCGACTTATCTAGTAAGAGACATCGGATCTAGCGATGTTTCAAAACCTGAGACAAGTATTAAAACTCAGCTGAGTGATGGTAACTAAGCATCAATAAACAAATGAAGAAATTCGTACACAAAACCTTATCACATAAACATTGTTGTCTGGGGGAGGGCTCTGGGGGATAACAAGGCCATTCCCCAAATACCTTTCCCTTTGCAATGCATATTGGTATCTACACCCAACCCCTCCAATACGCGTGCCCCCCAGTGGCACAGCGGCATGTCTGCAGACTTACAATGCTAGAAACCGGGTTTCGATACCCGTGGTGGGCAGAGCACAGATAACTAATTGTGTAGCTTTGCGTTTAGCTACAAACAGCCCCCAGTGGCACAGCGGTATGTCTACGGACTTACATCAATATAAACCGGGTTTCGATACCCGTGGTGGGCAGAGCACAAATAGCCCATTGTGTAGCTTTGTGCTACATCAAACATCAAACCAATACGCGTATTATGACGTCGTCCATACTTCCCCACTCATAATTTCATTTTTGCATAGTTGAATGGAATTTAAAAGCCTTCCCACACACGCACATACATTACTCTTTTAATTATATAGATTTTAGCCGAGATACAAGGCTGTATATATACTGTGACATAGCCGTGTTGTATCGATTCCAAAGGTGGACATTTATACCATATTCTTTAAGTGCGTACAAACAATCCGCCAATAGAAACCGATTTGGGGGAAACCCTGTACAGAACATTGTAAAATATGTTGAATGTAAACCAGAAAAAGTGAAAAAATTTATAAAATATATATATGTGAAGAAAAATACTTACACACTTCTCCTAGTTCTTTGATGTTATCGAAAGCACATGAATTAGTTGTTCCTAGAGTTCCCACAACCTGTACAAGAGTAAGACCATAAATAGATACTTGTGTACCTCAATTTATATCGAATTGATGAACACAGAAAAATTTAAGATAAACGAAAGCTAGAATCACTATAATAACAAAGATATTTTTATAACTTGTAAATATGGGGAAATAGTTACCCTTAATACTAATAATACTCTTTTATTTAACGATTCACGATGTAAAATTTACTTCAGTCAGCAAAAATGGCAAGACATAGTATTGTGAAAGGAGCAGAGCTCCAGCTTAATGAAGATATAGTAACAGGAAAAGTACGTGCAGATTTTTTATTTTATTTCATTTTGAGCATTCGACGTTTTCTATCTATTAATCACTTGCCTTAACACAAACTGGCCACTTTATTAGTTTCACTGGGACACCACCTACTATCGTTTTAGACTACGATTCGCTGCGATAATTGTCTGGACTCAGCATGGCATAAGCTCCACAAGATGTTGAAAAATGTCTTGCTCAACTTAATTCATTCGCTGAAAATAATGGTCTGTATTTGATGCCCAGACGGTGGCAGGGATTACGTTAGTAAAAGTGACGTTCAATTTCAACACAAAGATTAAGAATTGGATTGTTTCATGTGTCTTGGAAAAGCTCCAAGATTGGCAACAACGTACAGGTACATCTTGGATGTTATTCTTCCTCTAAATTAAGGATCAGTCCCTGCCACAAGAACATTATCTATACCTTTACACTGCCTGTCGAAGCTTGCCCTGTCAGAGCAATGAAGCAAGATTTCACGTGATTTATTCCATGCGCATGGGTGAAAGTGTCCAATGATTATTTTAACTGAAACAAATCTATTGGCCAGGGGTTTGTACTTAAGATTAGATGTATTCTGAGTCACTTTAGACAACTTTCAGAAATAAATTTTTACTTGACTTTATAGAAAAAAAGGAATTCAGAAATCACTCACAACTTGTTATGTTCCCAGAGAAACTAATTTGGTAACCACAGGCCCGGCATGGCCAGGTGGTTAGAGTGCTCGACTCGCAATCTGCGGGTTTGAATCCCCGTCACACCAAACATGCTCACCCTTTCAGCCGTGGGGGCGTTATAATGTGACGGTCTATCCCACTATTCGTTGGTAAAAGAGTAGCCCAAGAGTTGGCGGTGGGTGGTGATGACTAGCTGTCTTCCCTCTAGTCTTACACTGTTAAATTAGGGACGGCTAGCGCAGATAGCTTTGCGCGAAATTCAAAAACAAAAAAACAAAAAAATGGTAACCACAAGAGGCTAGTTAAATGTTTTTTAAATGTTAATACTAAAACCTTCTACACGTATGACCAATTCATTTTTAAAACCCCAATTTCACAGAAAAAAGTATCACTGAGTTAACCAACTATTATTCTTTCCTTCAAAAAATGAAAATGGTTGGAAGGTTAGACTAATAAAGATTAGAATATTGTTAGTAATAACACCAAATGTGTTTATCTCACATTAAATATAAATCATGTTTTGTAATCATGTCTAGGAAAAGCAGTTTGACAGTTTTTCGTCTGTAGACGGAGAACTTACGCCCATATCATATATTGAATACAAAAACAAATTAAATGCGATTCATCAGAACACATCAAATGTTTCCTGACGTTCACTGAACACATTTTGCACTCACTCTAAGCACCAGTGAATTCGCGCTTTCATGATTCAATCTGAGCTAAACGTTTTTGGAGTGGTCGTCAGTTGCCATGCGATATATTGTATGTCATTCCCATGATAACGTCGGAAAGGGCCAAATCTTGGCCACTGTTAAAAAAAATTATCAAATGGGGCAAAAGTTGACGCACGCTGCATTTTATAAACCTGTTAAATTGTTGTCTAAGTCACTAGCGGTTGGCGACCAGAGTTTTTCCAAGTATGCTCTTTCGATTTTTTATGGTGTGAACGTTTTTTCAAAGATAGTAAAGCAGGATTATAATTAACCACACCTGTAATAAGACATTAGTATTAGGTCAGGCCTATAATATTTTTAACGCTGCATTCTTCATTTATTTCTTTAGGGATTTTCAAGAATTAGAAGAGTGTATAATAATAGCATTACAACAGCTGTATCTTCGCCATATCCATTGCCGATGACGCATTTCTTGACAATTCCTAAAGAACTAGATGAAGAATGCAGTGTTAAAAATAAAATGGGCTTTTCCGATTATCACTTTGATAAACTTTGAAGGCAAAGGTCTTTAAATAGCCAGTAAAAAAAAATATTTTATATTTACGTTCTTACTAGGGGGCACCGTCAATCAACACTGGCTGGGTTGTTTATTATAATATCACATACACATACATTTATTGAACACTCCATTTATTTGCATACGCAAAATCTATTGATCATGTGGTGTGTCAGGTGAATTACTTGAGCACCAAAAATGTAAGAATAAGGTTCTTACAAACTTTCAAAGGGATATATGATAAACATGCTAAGAAATGTGTAACTCTACTAAATTAAGTGTTACCCCAACTCTTTTGAAATCATATAAATTATGAGATACACAGATAGTTTCAAGAAGTTGGTGCTTCATATTTATTTTACTGTACTATTTCTTTCCTGCATAGTGTTTCTATACGAAAAACTTCTCATCTGAAATTTCGGGAAAATTTCACGATTGCCACAAAATTAAAAAGAGTTATTCCTTTGCGAAATATTGTTTTAATATTTGGTGTACTGTAAGGACTTGGGAACTAGTCGATGGTTCGAGATTCATGGCCTTCTTCACAGATACAAATTAAGTTTCATAAATTGATTGAGAAAAAAGCGCCTTCAAAAGTCTCCCATCAAACTAATTTCTAATTAACTCTTAATTAGGCCCGGCATGGCCAGGTGCTTAGGGCGCTCGACTCGTAATCTGAGGGTCGCGGGTTCGAATCCCCGTCACACCAAACATGCCAACCTCCGCCTTTGCCTGGTCCCAAGTCCAGGGTGAGAACGGAGGAGGAGGGTTGGGCGCGGGGCTAACACTTCCACCCCGTAAAAACCAACCTGCTACAAGTAACTGCAACAACACCTTCCGTTGGCGAGGTGTTGTTGCGGCCCTATGCTCCACTGGGAGTTTACAGGAATAAAAAATAATAATAATAACTCTTAATTATTTCTGTATTTCAAACTTCATATCACTTAGTATTTGACGTTGTTCGTCTGAAAGGTTTAACTGTGTTCTCGTTATTTGTGCGATTTCTAGCTAAAACTTACCAGAAATGGAATGTCCCCCTTGGCTCTATCTTTTTCAATAGCTGATTGGAGAACATCACCTCTAAGACTCAAATTGTTATCAACTGGTAAAGGGCAAAACTTTACTCCTCCCAGCATCCCGGCCTTTTCCACTGAAGAATGGGCCTGCATGTTCATCAAATATTTCAATTGAAATTCATAAATTCTGACTTGCCTGACTTTATAGGCGAACCACATTAAAACGAAAGTTATATATAAATACGGCTAACACTTCTTATGACAATTCACTTCCTTTATTTAATAAATACTCTCTCAGTTTGAAAACGTTAACCGAATTTTACTGATTAGAATAGTTTCTGCATTGCCTAATATAGTTGATCCAAATGCACACATGTAAGCCTACCTGAACTGATGCATAGCAAATAAGTTTTTCCATGGTTCCACCAACTTTGTTTTCGGTTTTGAAAGTTGACAAAATTTTGTTTCGAGCAGAAAGCAATGCGACCAATGTTGCCTCGCTAGCTGTACCCTGGATTTTAAAAATAACATAGATTATCAACACTAATCCCAAAAGAAGTGTTATAAAAATCATCGACAAGTTTCATTCTCAAGAATCTGCCACAAATCTTAAGTTCATTCGCAGTAAAAATGTCAAAAACATTTCAATTTGCTGTAGCCTAGTGAAAATATAAACGGAGAAGATGTTTCAAACTTATAAAACTTTTACGGGGAAAATGTATTAACACACTTAGATTTTCATATCGCAACACATACCACCGCATAGTGGTCTAGATTGTTCGTTATGAAAAGTGTGCGCGAGGATGTGTTTGTGTCTCGACGAAACTTACACCATGTTCTACACATCCCTCTTCATTTCTCAGAGGCATTACTGCTTCATTAACATCTACTAAAAGTCATATAACATAATTTAAAAATCTAATAATAAAAGACTACTTAAATCAAATATATACTAACTGTAGACACACATCAACAGACGTACACAGGCAGGTTCGTAATTCTAATGTTCAATACACTGTTTTACTTATGTCACGTCGAGATAGAAATTTTTTATTATTTTTGTTTATTAGAAATGTTAAGAAATATACAACAGGATTATTCGTATTAACCACTCAATCTCCGTGATTTTAATAAGTATTTTAAATGTTTAATGCGCCTTCAACAGCATTATATGAATATTTTAAAAATAAAATATATTTTATTCTATTCTATCAATATGAGGTTGTTTGAAAATAATAATTGTTTTTCTTTAGATGTCGTTGTACTTTACAATTAGTATTTTCAACCAGAACGACACATTATGCGCAAATGGGATAAAAGGCTAGCTCAGAGACATCGAGGATTCATTTATGACTTTTCTTACTTTTGAACTATTGAACAGAAGGATGGCGTTTGGTCAGCAGTAACCACCACAACAAAGGACTTATCCAGTTTTTTAAACTGAATAATGAGACTGATTGTCTCGAATTGTTTGTTTGTTTCACAATTTGCGCGCAAAGACAGTTAAGGAGCTATTTACACAGAGCCCAATTTTAAACCAGTAAATTATAGTGATGGTAACTAATCAACAGTAACGAACAACTCTTGTGTGGTCCTTCTCTGACCAATTTCATCGTCACTTTTATACCACACCCCCGGTCTCAATATACGGAGCGCGTTTTAGCGGCAATGAGACGAGCCACGAATTCTCGGATCCACATTAGGCTACGCTCAGACAATTAATGTTATTACACTTTAAACTGAAAGGCAGTATATTAACATTTAATGAAGTGTAGAACATCGTACTCGTATAGCTTTGTTATCTTTTTATTAACTTTTAATAAAAAGGCAGTAGAATATAATTGAAAATTGTGACGTTCTTTGACCACTTCAATAGCAAATGAATTTAAAGAATAAAAATTATTTCCAGAAGATTATGTGAACTGGAGATCGATCCAAAAAGCTCTTGAATTAGAAGTTACTATAAACAAATCTGCAATATCATTCCATACAGCACTTATAATATTTATTAGTTGCATTATATCATGGAATTACATTTTAACTGTTTTAGTAGCTGCGATTCTTTGATTAATACTTTCTGATTAAAAACTTAATTCGTTTAGCCACAACATTCAATATTAAGTCGTTTTTAAGTTTACCAGTAACTTGATATAAAAAGTCTGTTTTACGTTACTTACGGTAACAAGCAGTTGTAAATAAAATTGGGTATGTATAAAAACAACGCGTAAAAGAAAATCATAACGCACAGGCACATCATGAAAATAAATGGGAAAAATTTCAAGAAGTCAGTAAAAGACTAATATTCGCTATTGTTTGTTTGTTTGTTTTGAATTTCGCGCAAAGCTACACGAGAGCTATCTGCTAATTTAGCAGTGTAAGATTAGAGGGAAGGCAGTTAGTCATCACCACCCACCGCCAACTCTTGGGCTACTCTTTTACCAACGAAAAGTGGGATTGACCGTCACATTATAACACCCCCACGGCTGAAAGGGCAAACATGTTTGGTGGGACGGGGATTCGAACCCGCGACCCTCAGATATTGAGTCGACGCCCTAACCACCTGGCCATATTTATGGCACTTGTTCTGATTCTGGGATCCGTTCTTATTGTCCACAATGTTAACTCTTATTTTTACACACATAAGTCGATTAATTATAAAAAATCTTGACCAGCCACAATTTTTTCTTGTCTTTTAGAGCACTTTCAACGCTTTATGTGGTTAGATTTTTTGATAGCTATGTTCGCTTGTAAGTTTTTCATGCACAATTTATGAATAAATGGCATTTGTTGTTCAGTATTTTTTATACATACCCGTTTTATGGTTCGTTTTATTCGCTTGTAAAACACAAGATTAGCACTTAAGTTTTTAATATCTACCTGAATCACTCCTCCTCCTAGTCCCTTCGAAGAGAATAAAAACACTTCTGGCAGCTGAAGCATCTTTCCCAACCAGTCTAGCATCACCATTTCCAGTTCAGTGCAAGCCGGACTAGAAGCCTAGAAGAGTGAAGAAAAAAATGGTTGATGATATCAACTGCATGAAATAAAAGCTGATTACAATGTATTATAAGGAAACGTGGATCACATGAAATGACAAATTATAAAGGAAGACACTCGATGAGCATAGAGCACTTTCGAAAAGTGGTCCATTCTTAGTACTTCTGTGGCAAAATTGTGCTGGGGTATAGTAGTGTAAAATAACATACCTAATTCTGATTTGTGGTGACTAAAATAAAGTTGATAAAAACTGCAACTCACCAGCTTAACTTAGTCCACACCTAAACAGTTATTCTTCAAATAATTCATAATATAAATAGCGCCTAGACCATTACTATGTCTATCTTATCTCAGTCAACCTGACGAGCCGTGGTATTCGACTAAAGGCCTCGTCGGCACCGGATATAGCAGATATACTGTATTTGACATATTACTATATTCTTCTTTACTTTCACTTATAAATTCGCCTACCAATGGCACAGCGGTATATCTGCGGACTTACAACGCTAGAAACCGGGTTTCGATACTCGTGGTGGACAGAGCACAGATAGCCCATTGTGTAGCTTTGTGCTTAACTTTAGATAAACAAACTTATAAATTCTTATAATTACTACAAGTAAATAAAAAAATGCAAAAATTAAGTATGATGTAGGGATGGCAATGCCAAAAAGTACAGAAACAAGATAGGAATGAATACAAAAAAAACCATACAAAAATCCTTACATAAGTAGCCAGTAAGTACTGAGTCAATCTAACAAGCTTATGGTTATTAGCCACTGTAAGACTGTATAGCACTATTCAGTTTAAATACCTTTATTCAAACCTAAATTCATGCAACTGACGGGAATTCAACATTTAGTTATAGATAAACGTTATTCTTGGAAAGATTTGGTTACTTAGGTATTGATTTTCGTATATTTTTGTGTATTCTGTACTTTTTGGCCATGTCATCCCTACATCAAACTTAATTTTTGCAAATTTATTTGTATTACTTGTTTACCCACTTTTCATTTAAACAATTTCATTGAAGTAGGTTAGTAAGTGAACATTTATTACATTTCTATAATTCAATGTAATATATATTGTTAATATCCTATCCGTTTTGTCAGTTTCTCCACTGCACTTGTAGAATGACCTCAGATATTGATATTATACCATACAATTTACTACAATGGATTATTAATCATCACTGGGCATAATCTTGACTTATTGGGACTTAATGTTGAGGAACCTACAGTAAGGAAAGAAAATATGAAAATGTATAGCTGTATCATCCATATATTCATGTTTGCATTCTTTTTGACACTACCATCCCTACATCATTTTACATCTGTAAAATGTCTTTTTATTACTTGTTTTACGACGTTCTTTTCCACTGACTGAAAGTTAGTGTATTTTACGAAAGCGTATAATAAAATTTAATAATATGTGTATTGATTTTTTTTTACTCCTTCTCTTCATACATAATATATGAGTTGGTTCCCTAAAGACACCGACTGTATAGTGTACAAAGCATTGAGTATAATGTTCATCTATTATTGGCTGGTAGTTCCTATTTCACCCTGTACTTACTATCGTGCCCTCCC